GGGGTGGGGGAGGCTGGGGATTGTCAAGGGCGGGAAAAAAGGAGACATATGTAATACTCTTTGTAATACTTTAAGCAATATATATATATAATACCCGTAAATCTTACATTGCTCATTATTGTTACTGCTATTAAATTTTATCTTACTCTCATCTTAATCTTCAGAATGGCTAATATGTTGAAATTCTAAATAAATCTGACCTATTTAAAATAAATGGTTTAGTACTAAGAAGACATACCTGCTGTCTTTGGTTTGTCTTCTATTAGAGGAATTATGGAAGCAAAATTTTCAATTAATAATGATAGGATGAATTACTAGTATTTCTTCTGTTTTTTAGAACACTATGACAAGTTTATCATGCATAATAGACATAAAGACTTACTTTTAATTGTGATTTGATAACATAAAGTTATAATAATTTAAAAACATTTGTATTGGAAAATTTTTATGGTCATAAATACTGAATATTTATGAATTTTAATTAGTGGTCCTCTCCAGCCCTGAAAATCTATTTACTCAATAAACACTTAAGTTTTGTTTTTCCTGGGTGAACTAGTTGTTTTTTATAACATAAATGGCAGTCTTCTCTTTCCAAATGCCGGACCTGTGGAATTCCCTGTGAAACTGTAAGCCCACTTTCTTCCCAACAGCATCTGAATTCTTTGTAGAAGAGCTCATTGAGACACAGGGCTTTTTTCCCATTGTCCATTGTAGTCTTTGAAGGTATTGTTACTCACAGAGTAATAGTAGAAAAGATAAACATGGTATATGCCCAGCACCAACGGCCCCTTCAATATCTGAAGCATTGAAAAAAGGGTAACTCTTTCCTAATCTTCAGTCATTCTTTGATTTAAAACACTGACTGAATACTTACTATATGCAGGGCATTATTACTAGTGATAGATGGTGAACTTAGATGAAAGTTGATGAAAACTGGCACAAAATTGAAATGTAACTTTAAATGATGTATAAATAAAGGGGTTCATGAGAGGAATAACATAACGTTTGTTTCTATCTTTGTTCCCCCATAGGTGATGGAGAAGGAACAGTAGGTATCATTCTAACATTAGCCATGAATATCATGAGTACGCTGCAGTGGGCTGTAAACTCCAGCATAGATGTGGATAGTTTGGTAAGTAATTCTTATTTTTTAAATATTTTTTATGAAAATTTCAGACAAACCAACAATTGTAGGAAATAACATAAGTGACAAGTAGGTACCCAACCCCCACATTAAGGCATAAAACATTACAGATAATTTGAAGGCCATTATGTGTCTCTTACTAAACCCATAGCTCTTCTTTCCTCCATATAGATAACCACAATCGAGATCTAGTGCCACAGTGAGCATTCTTACAGTCTCCTTGTCCAGGCTCTTTCTAGGGTAGATACATGGGAGTGGTATCACTGGGTCATAGAATTAAGCCACATTCAACTTTACTAGTTGATGCTAAATTGTTCTCAAATCTGTTGTACCAGTTTATGTTCCCATCATTCGAGTATAATGATTCTCATAGATCCATCCCTAGGATATACAACACTTGATATTTTCAGGCTTTTTACTTTTTGGCAATCAGATGTGAAATGATTATTAAGGAGATAGGGCAGCTTAATACATATTGATTGGCCATTTGAGTTTTTGCTTCTGTTCATGGCTTGTTCATATTGATTTCCTATTTTTCAAATAGACTGGGCTTTTTTCTTAATTGATTTGTAGGAGCTTATGAGTTCTGGATCAGTTATCAGTTCTATACATTTCAAACATGGTCCCCCAGTCAGTGGCTGGTCTTTTAGTGTCTTTTGATGAAAAGAAGCTTTTAATTTATTAGCCTTTCCTTTTATGTTTTGTGTGTTTGGTATTGTGTTTAAGAAATTCTTACCTGTCTTGGGTTTTCAAATTTATCAGCATTACCTTTTTTTTTTACTATATTCTTTTCTTAGTATTAAAATTCCCAGTGTGTAGTCATAGATCCTTTCTCATCTTTAAGTGTTTATCATTGCCTTCTCTCTTTTTACTTGATCTGTATTACCACACATTCGTATCCTTGACTGGTGTATGCAAAGATCATATTGTGGTTTGGTTGTTTCTCCTGTCTTATTTCCCTAGAATGCAGAGCCTGCAGTAGGTTTATGAGCTACACAGTGTCAGGGGCACAATCCCGTTGCTGCAAGAAGGAGAGATAAAGGAAGCAAGGCAGATTTCCCATTTTTATTTAGAAAAACACAAATACATAATTTTCAATCAGACAGTGTAGTTTGTCTGGACAGCTTAATCATCAACTTTTCTTAGTCTATTGGAGTACTCTACTTAAAACCAGTCATCCATTACTGCATTGGTGGAGGGTCTAGAAACCCATGTTGAGAATTACTTTTATTGCAGTCCAAGTTCCTTTTCCCATTCTTGAGGCAGTTCACTTGTTCTCAAACCACACACATTCATTCAGCTGTGACATTTGTATATTCAATTCCTGCCAGAACAAATATCATTATAAAAAATCTCTAAGGAAAAAAAACCCAAACCTTCTAATGTCCTTTTTTATTGCCTATGTATCTTTTTTTACATTTTTTTAATTTTTATTTTCTCCTTTATTGATTAAGATATTACAAACATGTCCTTATCCCCCGATTGTCCTCCACCCCCTCCCCTCATGCCCTCATCCCCCGGTGTCTGTGTCCATTGGTTATGCTTATATGCATGCATACAAGTCCTTTGGTTGATCTCTCCCCCTTAACCCCACCCTCCCCTGCCTTCCCTCTGAGGTTTGAGCATCTGATCGATACTTCTCTTTCTCTAGATCTATTTTAGTTCATCGGTTTATGCTGTTCATTATAATCCACAAATGAGTGAGATCATGTGATATTTATCTCTGACTGACTTATTTCACTTAGCATAATCTTAATGTTTTATTTAACCAAAGAATTTTTATAATTCATTAAAATGTAATTTAACCTTAACATGATTTATAGTAGGGTTTATCTCTTTTCCTTTAACATTATTTTTTTTTTTAGTTTGGCCAGCTCTTTTTAGCTACTCATTCATCTCCTCACTTAGCTTTCATGCTTTTAGGGTTGGGTCTCATAAATGTACTTTAAAATGTTTCTGTTGAAAATAGCAGAAGAAGAGTAAATAAATATTGTGCTTGCATTTATTTAATTCTTTGTTCCAAGTTGCTACAACTTTGACTTTACAATTAAAATTTTCATTATGTCACCTCTTTTTCTAAAATATGTCTTCAACCTGTATATTCACAATTCCTTTCTCTTTGCCATATTAATTGTCTTGGTTTAGGTATCAACTTCTACACATTGGTGCCAAAACCTTTGTTCTTGCAGTTCTATTCTGTATGTCCAATCTCCATTAAGGTATCTTTAAGGTATTTTTACTTCTCTCGGTTTTCACATGGCATCCTGGGCTTTGTGACCCATGTTTTGACATTGTGTCTTTCATCTCCTAATTTAAAAGGAATTTTGCAAAGAACTATTATGTCCTAATACAGACTATAAAAGGTGTCAGTATTTGGCCCCTGCCAGAATTTCTCAGTGGTTAGAGCGTTGGCCCGTGCACTGAAGGGTCTTCGGTTCCATCCCCAGCTTTAGGGCCATGCTGTGGGCAACCAATCAATGTGTCTCTCTCACATCGTTTTTTCTCTCTCTGTCTCTGTCTC